AGAATTCCCCAGCCAGCGAATGCTGGCTGGGGAATTCTGGGAGTTGAAGTCCGGACATCTTCAAGTTGCCAAGGTTGAGAAACACTGCTCTAAGCCCTTCGGCACACGACTCCGCCGCTCGGCTATCTCCACACTGGCCGGTCATCTCTGGGTGAAATCTGTGGGGGTTGCAGTAGGCTTCCCCCAAGGAAAAAACAGATGGCGTCTCATCCTAATGAACATCACGTTTTACCGCTAAGAGTTTCTTTGGTGACAACCCTGGGCTTGCAACCCTCCCCTTGGCCATAGAAATATATCCCAGGTACACGCGCTAATCCGATTGGAGGCTGAAGATCAACCTGCCATCTGGCGCCTTGCAGAACACACTGGGGGTGGGTGGGCTGCAGAGTCGGCTCTACGGCTGCACGTAGCCAGGGGAGACACACGTCCAAGGGAAGAGGTCACCCTTCCCTGGAATCCAGCAGTGAACAGCTGTGCTGTCAATCCTCTGCCTTAAGAGAGAGGCGTTTTTCTATCTCAGCTCCGCGAAAGCAGAGCGTGTTCCAGCCCAGGCCGCTGGGCTGCGTTTTGAGATTCTTACTGCAAATTCAGATCGGCGGGAGGTTGCCTAGCGGCGAAGACTCTCGCCTCCCGCTCGGAAGGTTGAGAGTTCGAACCTAGGTTCGCTGTAGATGTTTCTCTCTCAGTGCTTCGCTGAGAACAGTTTTAGCATCCTTTGCTAGTAGACCAGGGTCTCCACCCAGCTCAAAGGGAGATCTTACATTTTGCAAGGACCCTGACAAACAGTCTCTCTGTCCTTGTGGTATTGGTGAAGTGGAGGAAAATAATAAGCCAGCCTTTCAGAATGATTTAGAAAGCCTTCTTCAACTTTTGGTTTAAATCAGGGGGGGCTCCAACCTTGACCATTTTAAGACTTATGGACTTCAACTCCCAGAATTCCCCAGCCAGCGGTCCCTGGTTTAAATTAATCCGGAGATGCTTACTTGCTGAGCAAACTCCCCCCCTCAATATTTCTAATTCATGTGGGAAGATCCCTGATTTCTTTCTTTCTTTTTCTTTCTCTTTTTCTTTCTTTCTTTCTCTCTCTGTCTTTCTTTCTTTCTTTCTCTTTCTGTTTCTTTGTTTCTTTCTCTCTCTCTTTTTCTCTATCTCTCTTTTTTATCTCTCTTCCTTCCTTTTTTTTCTTTCTATCTATCTATCTATCTATCTATCATCTATCTATCTATCATCTATCTATCTATCATCTATCTATCTATCA